GCCTCTGCTTCCTTCTCTCACAAGCCTACATATATTTTTAAATGCAGTGCAAAATGTAGAGGTTTTTCTGTATCTGGATCTGTCTTTATCATCTTGGGAGTGTGGTGTCAAAGCACAGAAGCACCTGGAGGGGGCAGGAGCAGGTGGAAGCTGCTCTGATGCCTCTCAGAGGTCCAACAGGGCAGACTGTGGCAGCAGGTCTCCCTCTTTCTCTGGGAACCTTGGGGCATGGATTTCTCCCACTCACTGACATGTTACGATAAATCTTTCCGCCAAAAGCTGCTGAGCCCCACTGCCACATGTGCAATTTACACTGTCTTTATCATCTTGGGAGTGCCAAGTCCAACGCCCAAGAGCGCCGGGAAGGCGCGAGCATATGGAAGCTGCCGATGCCTTTCAGCGGCCCAACAGGGCAGGCTGTGGAGGCAGGTTTTCCTCTTTCTCTGGGAACCTTGGGGCATGGAGTCATCCTGCTCACTGACACCATTCTGTTACGATAAATCTTTCCGCCAAAAGCTGCTGAGCCCCACTGCCACATGTGCAATTTACACCAGCCGCCCGCCCAAGTTAGGCCCAAATGAACATAGAAACTTGTATTAGGTTCAAAGCTGCTTGGCCAAAGACTAGGATTCCTCATCTCTCAGTCTTAATTATCATAAATCTATATATTTTATAAGACTTATCTTTTCAGAAGCCTTATTGGCTTCCCTCCTTGCTGGTGGATCACATCCTGCTGCTGGAGCAAGAGCGGAGGGGAAAAGGGACCCTTCCTGTTTCTACTTTGCTTAAATATGAGTCTCCTTGCTATGTCACTTCCTGTCTGGATCACCACTTCTCTACTACATTTCCCAGAATCCTCTTTGACTCCCAGCTCCAGCTCACTTGCTGTCTCATTGGCCAAACAGTATTTTATTTAATAATCAATAAGATAAACATACACAGTACATTCCCCATCAGGGGGGAGATTCTCAAAATTGTTCATCATGGCTGTGCCTATCAACAGTGTGCAAGGTTCTTTTTTGTTCACCCCCCAGCTTGCTATCATTGTTTTGTATAACAGGTGTTTTAACTGGAGTGAAAAGGTTGTTAAAGAGGTTTTACACTGTATTTTTCCAGATTAGTAATGCTGACCATTTTTCCTATATATGTGTTGATCAGTTACATGCCTTCTTGGTGATAACTATTAATAGCATATATTTTACTTTTTTTTTTTTTTTGAGACAGGGATCTCTGTGTAGCCTTGGTTATCCTGGAACTCACTGTGTAGACCAGACTTGCCTGGAACTCGGAGATCCGCCTGCCTCTGTCTCCCAATTGCTGGGAATAGAAGCATGCCGCCCCCACTGTTGGGCTTCTGAATATGGGATGCTTTCTGAATTTGCATGTCATCCTTGTGCAGCAGTCATGCTAATTTTTTCTGTATCATTCCAATTTTAGTATACATGCTGCCAAATTGAGCACACTTTTTCATGATAATTTGTCTTTATTTCGATAAGATCCTATAGCGTATTAGTTTCTTTTCTGTTGCTGTGATAGAATACTCACACAAAAGCTACTTCATAAATGGAGGGTTTAATTCTTAATTCGGTTTATCCCAAAAGTGGATACAGTTCATCATGAAAGGGAAAAGAAGTATAAAACCTCAAAGCCCACCACCAATGACAAGTGTCCACTCCTAAAGGGTTCGAGACCTTGCCAAACAGCAACACCATCTTGGGACCAAGTGTTCAAATAGATGAGTCTATAATGGACGTTTTATATTAAATCCCAGCATCTAAGGAAGAGTAGGAGTGTCACTATGTGTTCTCTCTGAGAATGGTTGGAGCTGAGCTACGATGGAGAAAGGTAGGTCACACTGATGGGGGTGTCACTGTGGGCCAAGAGCTGTCTGTCTAGAGGAGGTACAAATTAAGTGCTAAGTAAGTCTTTGTTAAATGAGAGAATGAGTGAGTCACACTACCACAGTACTTCTCAAAAAAGTAAAGAAATTTGCACTGGAGGAGCATGCTTTGTTGTTCTTATTACACTCCAAGCCATTGGGTGCTATGGTCTCAAACATGTATTTAAGATTATTTACATGTCTTTCCTCTGATTAGTGTATATTGTCTTTCTTTAAATTGTTTCTCTGTCCCTTGTGCTTTCTGAATAAGCGAATTAAAACACCAAAATTTTCATTGTCCACCTCTTTACTTCCTAGGTTTGTCTAGTGAGTTCTATATTGGATTTGTTGGAATCAAGAACACAGGAGTTCAGCTTGCTTGGTGGAGGAGACATTTATGTGAACACATTGCTCCAAGCTTAGGAAGTCTATTTCAGGTCTGGCTATAAAGGTTATGAATATTCTGGGAACATGGGATGTTGGAAAATTTCCAGAGCCATCAAACACTGAATCTATACTGACTTCAATTGTTTTACTCACAGGGTGCCTTCTAATGACCTGGACAATAATCCTGCTTCACTTTGTGACTACTGACTGATGCCAAATAGATGTGGTAATAAGGACATCTTTGAATGTGTTGGAAAAATGGAATTGGTGTTTAAGTGATCACAGCCTTTCCTAAGTATGCTCAGATTTAAAACACGAATATTATTTAATTGAGCAATTATGCAATTATTTCCTCAAATAAATCTTAAATTGTATCAGAAAATGAATTGCCGAACAAAAATTATACACACACACACACACACACACACACACACACACACATATATATCTGCCAAGGACAATGGTATTTTCAAGGCAAATCCTCAGTAGCATTAAAGATAACATCGGAGACCCTACCACCACCAGACTGGAAAGTCTAGAAAGCCTAACGCATTCATTTCGCTTGTGTCTGAAGTTAACAGGACACACCGTCAGAGAATAGGGACGTGCTGGTAGACAGTAATGAGAGCTAATATTAATGTGGCTCTCCACTTTCAAAAAATCCCCATAGTCTGTTTTATTTGTAGGTAAATCTCTTTCCCTTCTATTGGTAATAAGCATTTCTTATAATAGAGACATGGAATTGTAGCTTGCAAGTAGCATTGTAAAAGAAATAATTATCTTTTTAAATAGCAACTATCAAATTTCTACAATGCAGATAACTGTATTTTTTTGTATCCCAGTTGCTCACCCAAGCAAAGATGAATTACATTTGTCTTGAAGTTTACCCTAAAGAGCATCAAAGCTCTTAGCCTATGAATTCCACAATATCCTCTGACTAAAGTTATTCTATCATATATCCTAGAATACTAATTATTTTTATCTTGTTTACAAAAAAAGTATTGAGGGAAGAGTCTATTAAGCACCTGCCTGTCTTTCTTTGTTTAAACACAAAATACCACGTGGAAATCTATTTCTAATCTGACTTACTTTAAAGTGCCCTGTACATACGCCAGTTTTTCTGCATGTTTTGACAAATGACACATTTCCTTTGGTGCTTCCTTGTGGGTAACAGCGTGTGAGGATGTGGTGTTGGAAAAATTTATTACAGTTATTTTGTAGTTGATATTAAAAAATGTGATGTATTATACCAGGTGTCTGACCTTTAAAGATCTTAGGACCTAATTCATTACAACATAAAATTTACATATTATTCAACTTTGCTGCAGAGCTCTTAGGAACAAGTCATGGTGTGTGTGTCAGGATAGAGGGAAAAAAGCTAAGCTCAGGCAAGAGCTGAGGACTAGACCCGGAGTTTGCATGTGTGTGGGGAGCTCTGTGACTTAGAGCAGAGAAGCTGTCTGGATGTTTTAGTAAAGAAAGGTGTAGGGGAAACTTGGTACAGTGAATTCACGCGGTATACGTTTTCAGTGATTCCCATCGAGTCTGCCTTCAGGACAGGGCAATGAAAAGTACACCTAAGAGAAAATGAGTAACCATGTGGTACCACAGAGTAGCTTTAAGGGACTGAACCTGATACAGCCAGCAAAACAATCTATAACGATTTCTCTACCTGATTTAAGCATTTAAGATAAGAAGTCAAGACTGATCCAGACCCCTGAACATGGATGTCAATAAGGAGGCCTCTGCACTCCAGGGAGCCTCTGGTGGTGGATTAGTATTTTTCCCTGGTGCAAGAAGGGACTTTGAGAGCCCATCCCACGTGAAGGGTTACATTCTGGCCCTGGACACATGGGGAAGGGCCCAGGCCCAGCACAGGAAGATTTGGTGGCCTTTGCAGCCCACC